CGATGGCAGCCTCCCTGACAGCTGACTGTAGACACTGTGCTAGGATTGCCTCGCCCGGGGTCAGTGGGGGTTGGGGGACAGATGTTCCTGCCTGCATTACGCGATGACCGCAAGGCACTTGACCAGAGGGGACATTGTTTAAGGTGTAAATATTTGCAGAAATGAGTGAGGAAGGAGAGAAGGGGGGGAGAGAGCCTCCTAAGAACCCTGTCATTTGTGTGGGGTGGGGAAAGCCAGTAGGAAAGGTCCCTCTTGATACACTAGTTCTGTGATCTGAAGGTTCTTGTCTTTTCACAAAATGTGGCTCCTTTTCAACCCCAATGCAGGAAATGGAGACATATGGCTAAAATAACTCTGCGGGTCCTTGGAGGGACTACACTGGTACCAATCTCCCTGAGTTTTGTTTCCAAACATCAAGAATCTGGTCTAATTGAGTTCTCAAAGGAACTGTCACGCAGCATGAGCTGTTCTCAAGCCAACCTCACGTGGGCAAAACCAGCAGTGCAAAACTGCCCACTGCTGACTCCGACGGCCCGGCCTGCTAACACGGAGGCTGTGGCTGGCTTTGAAATCACCTTGGCAGTGGCCAGTGAAAGTCTCAGAACTCGGCAAACCTTTGATAATGGAGGGGGAAGGTTCTAGTCTTTAAAACCAAAGGATCGCCGTTAGAGTTCTAGCTGTCAGCAATCATTCAAAATAGATCTATATTCGCATTAATGTATAAAACAAGCCACCCTCAGCTATTCACCCAAGTTAGAGGCCAGCAAGCTATAGGCTGTGAGCCAAATCTGGCCGCTGTCTGTGTTTGTAAATAAAGTTTTATTGACACACAGCCACACCTATTTGTTGGCGCATTGTCCGTGGCTGCTCTTGCCCCGTGATGGCAAGGTTGGGAATTTGCAACAGGGATCATACTTCCTGCACAACCTAAAATATTTGCTCTCTGGCCTTTTATGGTCAGACTGAAGGGATTTACACAGATGAAGGAAGGACTCGTGGCATTTGGACTACATAACAGGGCAGATGATTGAAATGGAACCAGCTCTCACATGTTGTTCTGTTTTCTTCTTGGTAGCCGACCTCCCAAAGAAAGGAAATGAGGAGAGGCACCCTTATGGGTTTTCTGTCTTCCCACCTGCTTCTTACAGGGGTCATTCTTGCCACACGCGAAAGGCCTGATTCTTGTTCAACCATCATGAGCATGGGGTCTGTGGGATCTTCCTGTAGCCACTGATCTTTCATACATGAGCCCAGGGTCCCATTAAAGCCCGTGGGCCAGGCGTTGAAGCATGAGGCTGTGCGCCTTGAGAGTAAATTAAGTATGTGAGGAGTAGTCAGGTGTTTGCCTCCAGCCAATTTTAAGACCGGAATGTGGCTACAGATGGGTTAGTTCAGCGTTAGACATTTGATTTTCTCTGAGGCTCCAGAGCAGAGAATTGCCTTCCACCCTGGCTGTGCCAAATGATAATGGGAAAGTCACTTTACTTCCCAGCATCAGGCTCCTCATTGGTCGGGCAGGTGAAAAAGTGCAGGAAATTGATAGGTTAAATCAATCATGTGTGAATACTTTGCAAAGTACCCAACATAGAGAAGTCTTTCCAGAAAGCATAGCCATTGTAGTATTGTGTTTTTACCCAGGTGATCTGCTTAGTTGTTAACCTGTGTCTCCTTTCTTCCAAATTTTAATTTGGTAAATTCCGCAGAGGAATTTCACACTGAAGGCAGAAGAAGGGCCTCCAGAACGGGGCAAACCTTGGGATCATATTTTTCTCCCTAGTCCCTCGGTTTGTATTTTCTACTTTTCAGTTGTGAATGTAGTAGGTCACATAGCTACAGTGGTAAGGGACTATGTTAGAGCGTGCATGCGGCTAGGGGTGGATATAAGGATGCTGCTGCCCCTTTCGTGAGGGGCTTTAGGGACTTATGAGGACTTCAAGCCAAGGGCTTATCTTCTGTTCTGAGAGTCATCAGTGAGGAAGAGAGTCCCTTGAGCCAACCGTTTCTCTCCCGGGCTTCAGTTTCTTACATCTATCGAATGAGGAGAATAAGTGCTTCCCATTCTAACCCACAGGGCGAATGGGAGGCAGTCAAACATCTAGGATGAAGCTGGTCATGTCCTCCCTTCCAAGGACTTTTGTCACTGCAGATATTCAACCCAACAGAATTCCCACAGTAGGAAGATGCGAGGTCCAAATCTGGCAGTGCCCTGTGCCTCCCCTGGCCCTGCAGATGTTGGGGAATGGACGGCACAGAGCTCTGCTCTTGCAAGGGGCTCTCCGTGCCTCCAGCTGGGCCTCACCTGGCAGTTCAACCAGCCCCTGATGCTCCTCTTGACTCATCCACTCAGTGTATCCTTTTACATCACTAGCCTCCATAAGTTGAATTCTTCTGACCTAGAAGATGGAAGCTTTATCCCAAGAAACAAAGAACAAAGCAAAGACTCAGTTCTTGCCATGGGGGTTGGGGTATAACCTGCCAACAAATGCCTGAGGAGCTTTTTGCATGGACCCAGAGCACTTCCCAAGGGATCTATCCATGGAGGGGGTGGTGAGGCTCAAGAACCTGCCTCCACGAATGTTCTTCTCCAGGAATGTAGATTAGAGAGGTGCTGGCCTCAGTCTTAGAAGAAAGGAGACCAAAACTGAGATTAAAGAAGGTCAGAGCAAAAACAGATTTATGAAGTCTGAGCTCAGAATCACATACTACTGCTCTTATTATGAGCTTTGAAGCCAACAGATCCTATGCGATCCAGGGAATTTGCACAAACTGGTCCACATAGTTTTCACTTCCATAACTGATGATAACAGTATCTACCTATGAGAGTTGTTAATCAGGAATAAATGGGATGATGCACATCTGACAATTGCTACGACTTGCTGAGCATGCCTGAGATAATCATGATCACTATCAGCACTATCATCATCATCACATCCACATACATCACCATCACCACCATCCTCATCATCACCATCACCACCATCACCACCATCCTCACCACCATCATCACCATCACCATCATTACTGTGACCATCATCACCACCACCATCACTGTCACCATCATCACCACCACCATCACTGTCACCAATATCACCACCACCGTCATCACCACCACCATCATTATAATCACCACCACCATCATCATCACCATCACCCTTCACCACCATCCCCATCAGCATCCTTTTCAACCCTTCCTCTGCCAACAAGGTCTCAGTTGGGTGCTGGGGAAGCTGCTGATCAGTGAGGGGTTACTGAAGCTGGTGGGCACGCTGCTGTCGGTGAGATGGGGTGGTTCCTGTGGCATAACTGTCAGTTCCATTGGAAAGCTGATTTGGCAGTTTTCAACGAGAAAGCAGACTGGCCCAGAGGCTTATAGCAGGTGCCACCGCTTGGGCATAGGTGTGTGTTAAGCCATCATCCAGAACCAGCAGTGAATGCTGCCACTTTAAAAAATGGGCACTAGAGCAGCTAAAGGTGGGCACCATGGCTGAGCTGGTCAGAGTTAACACTGCCTGGCATGTAGGAGGTGCTTAGCAAGTGGTTCTTGAATCAGCGGATGAAAGAATAAATTAAGGGAAGTCCATAACATTCACGCACCTTCTCCAGTTCTCCTGGCGGCGCTTACCCTGTGGGCTCGGGACAGGAATCCCTCACGACAAACAGAAATAGGATGATGGGCAGATAGGAAGAGAAAGCTTGTTTTCTGGTCATGCCAACTTTGAATCATTTATTAGCGATTCCCTCCACGAGGATCATATTCAGTAGAGAGGTAACATCTGTTTGCGAGACTGTGTCCTTGTGAGACCGCCAGAAAAATCTTACACCCTGAAATCCTCCACACTGGGACACACACGTGTGTTGTTCTCACCCACCCCTGGCCCCCGGGACCTCTGGCTTCCTCTGGGGTGGTAGGTGGGCCTCTGCAGATGGACGCCCGGAGTGGAGAGAGGCAGCTGCTTAAACACCCAGGTGCAAGAACACAACGGGGGGCAAGGCGCTGCCCTTTACGGCCCTGGGGGGTCAGGTAGGGGTCTTTCTGATTGCAGGAAGACAGGGCCTTTGCAGGTGGCTGTTATGGACCAGTGGAGTCTGCTGAGGATGCCCCCAGTGTCCGTGGTCTAGGAAGGTTGTGACAGATGTGCTGTCAGGAGGAACAGAGCCTCAGGTGGAGGACCGGAGGTGGGAGCCTTTCCTCCCGCCTCCTTCTGTGGTTGGTGGAAAATGATGCAGAGGTGGGGGGAGAGGGACAGTAGGAAGACAACCCTCGTCCTCTGCTGTCCCTGTGTGGGGTTAGCAGACAGCTCTCAGGAGGAGCTCAGGCTGCCCTGCTTCTGTCCCTGATTTGCTGTCTCTTCTCACCCCTGCACCCCTTTACACCTTACATACACACACAGCAGACGTGGGTCAAGGCCAGACTGTAGATCCTTTTTCTGGACCTTTGGGAAGCATCAGCCGTGGGGGCTGAGTCTTTTACTCCTGGAACCTCAACAGGCAGTGAGCATCTTGGAGAAGACTCTAGAAAGAGGAAGACATTCCCCAGTGATTCACGTACCCCTGCGTCCACCGGGGGGGGAGTCAGCCCATGTTCACTGTCCCCCACCTTCCCAACAAATCCTGGGCCGTCCTGGCTCCTCCTGCGTTAGGCCACACCTGCTAGCACTCAGAGGTGCCCAGAGTCAAGAACTCACGCGGGGGGAGGAGGCAAAAGAAAGGTGGCGGGTCCTGGAGGAAGGCCTCGGCCAGAGCTCACCTGGGCCAGGTGACGGGCTTGGCAGGCAGGTGCAAGAAAGGGCTCAGCTGACCGTGGCCCGGGTCACGGCCGGGGGACCGGGAGAGGCCGGCGCTGGGGCCTCGCTTCTTGGGCTTCAGGTGACAGCAGCGCTGGCCAGCGGGGCGCCTGGGGAAGGAGAGACCTGAGTTGGCAGGAACAGGCCCCTGCCCTTCCTGGGCTCCACTGTCTCACCCCCTGGTCTCACGGCCGCCCCCCACTTCCTCTCTTCCAGGTCTGGCTGTCCATCAGATCATCACCATCACCGTCTCCCTCATCATGGTCATAGCTGCTCTGATTACAACTCTTGTCTTAAAAAACTGGTAAGGATCCTCGGCCCCTCTGGCCTGGAAATGGGGGCCGCGGGGGTCCCCTGGGAAGTGTGTGCAGAGACTTGCCTAGTTTTCAAGCCCAGTCCTACCTCACACCCCAGGGAATTGGTTTTTCATTTGGGTCAGAGAACCGGGTGCAGCACCTGCTCCCCTCCGGCCCCAGTAGCTCCGCCGGCCACGGGCACCGCGCTCCCAGGTACCGCCCTTGGGGAGCGACCCCCTCACCGTGCCTTTCTCCGCAGAATACGGGCGAGCCCAGCCTCCATGACAGGTTCTCAGGCAGCAGGCGTCCCTGTCTGTCTGTATTTGAGTGCCTGCGATGTCACCCACCCGACACCGGTGGCCCGGGCGGACTGCGCCCACCCCCTCTACCCCCGGTTGTCCAGGCGCAGCCGCCTCGAATCTTCCTTTCTCTTGCAGCCTCTCCGGGTCTGCTGAACTAGGTTACTGCTTTGCTCCAGGCGGCCTGTGTTTGCCTATTTCCTCCTGGAAATTGGCCTACTTTGAGGTTGGCCTTGCTGGGTGTACGCACCTGCTACACCCCTGGGAAAACGGGGCACTGCCGGGCGACCCTGCTGCGCCCACACCTCCGAGGCCCCCGTGTGCCTGCAACTGCTCCTCAGCAAGTGTGTCTCCTTTCAGCATCAGAGCTCAAAGTCCCTTGCAGAGTAACACACCCAGATAAGCCCCTGCTGCCGGCCGGAGGGCAGAGGAAATCCTACCGGGCTCATGGGCGACAGCCGCCTCCGAGTGTCCAGACAACGGAAGTTCGAGAGAAAGCGGGTCTCCGGGGTCAGCAAAGGTGGGAGGGTGCGACTTGGCCCAAGCCCCCAAACAGACCTCGCAGCAAGCAGTGAGGCCTCCCGAAGGCCAGCAAACCCTTGACCCCGGGGCGTTTCCTGGGACCGGTGCCGAGGACCACACTCAGCTCTGCACAAGGCAGTCCTAGGCAGGACCCGGCCGGCCGGTGAGGGGACTCTGGAGCCCAGGAGCGCATGGGTGCGTGCAGGGCAAATCCCATCGACCCTCTTGACTGGCCCCCAAGGAGACAGACTGTCATCTGCCGTGTGATACACAGCCCAGCTCCCTCTTGGTTTCCCACATTGGGGTTTACATACAGCAAAGCCTCAGAGTCCTCTGGGGAGGTCGACCCAGCCAGTGGATGAGGGGGCTCCGTGACCTGAGGGGGCGGGTCCCCTGGCTCTTGCAATCTTCTCCCCACATTTGCTTACAGGCTGGGGCTTCTGCATCAGGAAGCAGGGCTCCCCTCATTGCAAAACCGAGACAGGGCATGACCATGACGCTCTCATGGACCCTCACCCCTCCTTCCACATCCGAAGGAAGGCACTTCCTTCCACATGGGCTGTGAGCACAGCAGGGCAGGGGAGACGGGGCACTTGGGCCCCGATGAGGTTCCCCGCACGGGGTTCCCTCCTAGCCGCCCTCCTCTGTGGGCATTCATCCTTCTTGTGACTTGCCAGAGTGACTGGGAGGGTCACCGATTGTCTTCGGGATCGGACCCCTCGGCTGACCAAGGAGGGATGCCCGTATCCATCCTTGGCGGTGCTGGGAAGGCCCTGTGGTTCAGCAGAGCAGGAAGGTGTCCACACGGAGTGCAGGACAGTCCTCTCCATAGACCTGGTGGCGGCGAAGGATGGACCATCCGCTTTCGTCTCCAGCTGGGAGCTTGGGCAGGGGCAGGGCTGAGAGCCAAGGCTCCCCATTCACTACTTCTCCCCAGAGGTAGTTACATCATCCCTTCCAGAACAAACCACTGCACCCATTCATGGGGAAACTGCGTCCACACCACTACCTGGCTGACACCCTTCAGCCAGACGCGGCCTCTGCTCTGGGAGAACCCAGCTAGGCCACTTACCTGTAATAGGCCCTGCAGTAATGGCCACATTTACAATTCAAATCTTATTAACGCAACAGCAACAAAAAAAGAGAGCTGATTGTTTGATTGTGGCTGATCTTTCTGAAGAGGCTGGGAATTACCATTTAATATTAAATGACGGATAATTAATGCCTGGAGAGGGAGGCGCCACCGCCACCAGTGAGGCGCCGGGCTTGCGCATCGGCCCGCTTCGCCCCCACGCCAACTTGGCTCTCTTCCAGCTGTGCCCAAAGCGGGAACACGCGCAGGACCAGCCACCAGCGGAAGATCAACCAGCAGGAGGAGAGCTGCCAGAACCTGACGGACTTCACCCCTGCCCGCGTGCCCAGCAGCCTGGACGTCTTCACGGCCTACAACGAGACGCTGCAGTGCTCCCACGAGTGCGTGCGGACAGCCGTGCCCATGTACGCCGACGAGGCGCTGCATCCGACGGGGGAGTTCAAGTCCACGTTTAACGGGAACCGGTAAGCTCTGGCCCAGGCCGGCCCCACCGCCTCTGCAGACTTTGGGCAGGAAGGCATCACCACGGGGGCTGTGGCCTGGGCGGCGCCGCTGTCACGTGGCTTTGGGGGGCGAGCAAATGTACGCAGCTGATCTAGCGAAATAAGAGGGGTGGGCTAGGCATAAAGAGGTGTATCACTACCTGGAGACAGAGCACAGCGGCAGCGAGAATCGCTTCCAGACCCTACACTTGAGAAGGGGCAGAAGGCCACCGTGGATAGCGTGTGGGGGCGGCCGGGGGGGGCACCCGGCTGGCTATGTAGACGTGCCCTCTGACATCAACCCCCCCCACCCAACCATCAGTGTCTCCAAGCCCCCATCCATAAAATGTCAGCAGCGCATCTAGCCAAAATCTCAAATACAGACCAGCCTCTGGGTGATTAAATGCTCTTTTGCATTCATCATGTGTAATCCTTCAAGGAATACATGACCCTAACACCATCCCGGGAAAATTGAAGAAACCCTCACGCCAGCTGCCAGGGATTTACCCCGCATTAGAGTAAAACATCAGTAAGATATTTTTTTAAGGGAGCATACACTTATGCATCACTTCGTAAATTTAAAAAAAAAATTCTCCAACCACTTAAAAGTCCTAGGAAGCAATGAGTAAGAAAGCAGGTGGGCCTCAGGGACCCCCTGTCCGCGCAGGAGAAGCCGCTAGCGGTTGATCCCAAAGGGCCCGAAGGTGTTCCTCCCAGAACTGCGGTCGTGGAGACTCGGGGTGGCGTCCTGTGGTGCCCGCAGTTAACGGGTCCTTGTCTCGCATCTCCGCGTGGGACTCCGCCATCTTCCCAGTGCCCCCTGAGCTGCCCCCTCCCCGCCGCAGGGAATGGAGAGCAGGGCCTCAGGCGTGCCCTGCCTGCTTCGCTTACACTGGGCGGCATTTGGAGGGCTCCTTGGTTACATCCCAGCCTGGCCGAGGGCCTCGTTCACAAAGAATCGGCCAAGGCATTTTCAAACCATTTCACTGAGTGAACACGTGTGTCAGTTTGGATACGAATCCCGGCCAACCAGAGCTTCCGTTTTGGGGAAGCAGGAGGGGGGCAGGTGAGGGGGGGGCGTTGCCTAGTGGTCATCGTTGTTCTCACTTGCCCCGCTCTGGCCTTACCCTGTGCACGTGTCCACGTGCAGCGTGGCTCAGAAGCATTGGGTGGAGAGAGTTCTTGCCTTCGGGCCTAAGGTAATGCTCTGCGGGGTCTCACTGGCCTTCGGAAATGACAGCTCAGGTCTCAAAGGTGACAAATTAGAGGAGAGCCATTTCCGGAGTCAGGCCCGCCCGCTCCATCCTGTGCAGTGAAGTGGGTGTTATCTCTGACCTCGGAGGCGGAGACCCCCAGCTTTGCGCGCTAGTCCCGCCAATTGAAACGCTAAACTCTGGAAAGCCACACGGAGCCCTCAGGCTGTGCATCCTCCAAGGCCTTCCAGGGCGGAAGTGAGTGTTAGCAGGCCACTGGGAGGGGGTCCCCGCTCTTGCCGAAGGCCGCGGCGGGGGGGGGGGGGGGGGGGGGGGGGGGGGGGTCCAAGCAGAGCGTTAAGTGTCCTGGGTTCTTTTGAGTCCAGAAGGCGGGGATCTGTCCCTTCTGCTCCAGCACGCGCAAGCCCGTTTTTCTGCTCGCTGCAGACCCTCTTCTTCTGATCGGCATCTCATTCCTGTGGCCTTTGTGTCTGAGAAATGGTTTGAAATCTCCTGCTGACTGGCCGAAGTCTTGTTTACCTCCTGGGGGCAGGGCAGACGCCATGTGTCTATTTTATGGTACGTACCTCTTTTTCCGGACATTAATTGATTTTCTCCCCTTTGCCTCACCTTCCCCACCGTCACCTCCACTGCGGGATAGTGGGCAGCCTTCTGGACATGGCAGGGGTGTGGCCACCCCGAACCTGAGCCGGAGGGCGGGGCTCGTGGTCTCTCTGCTGCACTTGTTAGAAGCGCCCGGGTGGAGGGAGGGACAGACACGCGGAGACGCCGACCAGCACAGGGGCTGCCGTCGGGGCCGTCACACCTGCAGGGACGGCCAGCGGGGAGACCCGGCCGCTTGCCAGGCAGACACCAGGGCGGCAGCCCCACAGGCAGGCATCACACCTGCATCGAATGTTTCTACATCAGGGGGGAGGACACAAAGCAGAATTAAAATACAATTTTGAAATATAAAAATAAGAGATAAGAAGGGAAGTGATAAAAGAAGGAAGCAAAGAGTTGAGACATCTACTAATTTGAAGCCAGGGACCGGCACCAAAACAGGATGAATTCTCCACGCTCTGCTGAAGAGGAACATTTGGTTTGCTTTCAGTGATATTAACTTTAATGCTAACGTTAAATTGCTTTCTTCTGCACCGAATCTCCCGAACGCCTGGGCTGCTGGGGAGAAAGAGCATCTCACCCCCGTGACCGCACACTCCGTACGCGCAGTCAGTAGATGCAACCCGCGGCTTGGGCTCTTTGGATTTGTTTTCCTTGTTGAGGCTGGGCTTTTCCCAGCCACAGATATTCTGACATCATTCCCCTTCTCTGAGCAGGGAACCCAGTTTCCAGGATGGGTTATCGGGATCTGAAAATATCGCTTCTTCCGCTCACCTCCTCACGCGGGGCTCGGGGTCAGAGCGGGAGGAAGGGCCGAGGCAGGAAGGTGTTTCCTCGGGACACACGTGTGACCCTTAGAGAACTCGGCTCGCGGCTTGTAGCCAGGGAGGCTCGAGGGGCCCGTGGCTTTCAGAAATAGAAGTGAACGGATCCGTCCTAATCCAGCCCTAATGAATCGAGTGTTTGCTCCAAATCAAATCTGCAGCCCTCACTTCCTGTCCTGGAGCCAAAATGACCTGCTTAGCGTGATGTTCAGCCAACGGGCAACCAGATGTAATTGGATTAGAAAAGAAAACAACCCCGCCCCCCCCAAACGGCCTTTGTTGAGACCGTGCTGGCAAGTTAGGGAAGACACACTCTGGTCCGCAACCGTTCAAGGGCCAGATGCGCCTACGTGGCCCGTCCAACAGAAGCCGGTGCCTCTGTCTGCCTCCGTGTGATTCATCTCATTAAGGCCAGGGACGCAGCACCCTTTGGAGGTCCAGCCAGGCTAGCGGCTTCTTAGGAGCGGAGTCCCCCCTGCCTGGTAAAACCTCTGCAGGATGGCCGCTCGTCTCCAGCATGCGTCTTTGGATTTTAAAAATGCGTCAGAGCATGAGGCATTGATCTGGTCCTGCATGCCAGGACCCCAGGTCCCCTTTAAGAACCTGGGGGTGAGTCTGCCCTACCCTCCAGGCAGCCCCTGCTGGTGGGTCAGTTTCCCTAAAGCGGACCCTCAGAGGGCACTCATGGAACACTCTTTGCATCTAGGGATTCATATTGTCCTCCCGGAAGTGCCAACCACAGAGGGAAACTGAGGCACAGGGAGGTTAAGTGACATGCCTGAGTTCAGGTCAGGTTGTAAGTGGTGAGGCCAGACCGAACCACGGCGGCCTGGCTCTGCCCACCATCTGAGAGCCTCAGTTGTGCCCCTCCTGCTATGAAGCCTCTGTCCCCCGGGCCACCCCCCGCCCGGCCTCAAGTGGGAAGAGAGTTGGTGATCAACGAAGGTGGGCTTTCCCACGAAATCAGCCTCCTGGGACATTCAGCCAGATTCTGCAGAGTGGGAGCCACCCAGGCAAGAGACCAGCCCCTGAGTGCCCAGAAGCCTGCGCCCGCAGCCTTCTCATCCACACTGAGCCCAAGCCATAGCCCTGACTTAAAAAATCAAAAAGTAGGAAAAAGTGCTTTTATTTACTCTTCTACTCCAGAAAGCCTTGCTGCCTCCTTAGCTCAGCTCTTCAAGCAACACGGGGCATCGAAGGACCCCCACAAGCTTGGTGAGCACCCCCCGTTCTGCCACTTCCCAGCGGGCCCCACCTGGACCACATTCCTCTCAGGGTGCCGGGACCCCACTTGCTAGCTCACCCAAGGATCTATTTCAGGACCATGGCGGGAGAGGATGCCTCTGCATCTGAAGAGCTGGACCCACTCACTGCGGATCCCAGGGGGCCGTGTGGGGAGGTGAGAAGAGCCATCAGGAAGGAGCTGCCCTGAGGCTAGCCACGCACCTGTGGTGCTCCGGCCACTTTCGTTTCCGGTAAACACCGACCTGCGGGGCTACGCAAACAGTCTTGTTAGCCTTTGATAAATGCTTAAAGATTCCGTCTCCACGTTCCGGACAGGCTGTTTATCACTCAGTGGGAGGAAAACATTTGGATTCTAAGTATCCCTGATTCTTGCAATTAATGCCCGGACACGAGCATTGAGCGGAGAATGGCCAGGAAGTTCGCTCAGATTTACTAGGGTACTTATTGTCCCTTAAATAAATAGCAATTAATACTAAAACATTTAATTAAGGTTTAAGAGCCAGCGGAGATATTTATCTCTTGCATAGCTGTTAAGCCTCTCCAAATGCATTTTTAATGATGATATAGCAGTTTGTAACCACACCATCTTGTCTGCTCACACTAACTCCTGTGCACATGTGGGACCCAAAAGCGGTTAAGTTCGTTTCCCTGCAGGCAGGTTGTTGGTGAGGCTTGGGCTCCTGGACGCAGGCACCCCCCCGATGTGGGCACATGTTTACTCTATTTCCCTGAGTCGGTCTCTGCAGTAGATTGCAACAAATTCTTGCTTCCGACCACCTCCACAGGGGCACCCTGTTGTTCTGGATGAGTCATGGTGAGGCTGACCTTCCCAAACACCCAGGAAGGGGACAGAGACACACGCCTGCCATTGGCTCGTGGGCTAATCTCCTGTTATTTTTCATGGAACAACTAAACTTCAGAAAACCTCATTAGTGTTCAGATGCTTTGCATTTGCCAAGGCCACTTTATTCCCAACGGAGCCTGAAAAGTAATAAAAGTTCTTGCATCGGACGTCAGTACAAAATAAATCATGTGCTATTATTATTATTTTCAAAAACGCACCGAAGAAACAATGAATAAAAACTGAGAAATGCACCAGAACCTTCCCGCTTCATTCTAGAAAAAAATACATCAACAGAACATCTAGCTTTTGTAATTCAGAGGAACGGGTTTTTCAAAGCCATGTGCGGACTCGTCTGCACACTGATGTCTCCAAGCTGAGCACCAGCAGCAGGCGAAGTCCGTGGGCAGGTACCCCTGTCTGGTCCTGCAGAAGTTGCCTACCAGCCGCTGGCTCCAGGGTGCTCCTGCCCTAGTCTGTTCTTTGTTTTGCAAACTGCAGACACTGCTCTTTAAACTAAACCTAGGACCCACCTTAACGCGTCAGCAGCGGGTCCAGGGGAGCCGAGGATCGCCTTCCAGGCAGCAGAGGGCACTAGTTTCTCCAAAGTCAGAATTTATCCCAGATCCCAATCACTCAGATCACTTTGCAACACACAGCTTCCCATTCTGGCCAAGAACCAGGTGCTGACGCCCTCACCCTGTTTCTCCCCAGCCAGGACGTGGAGGGTGGGGGGCTCTCCTCGGCCATCTTTCCTAACTGGCCTCTCTGGTCCCTCTCAGGGTTAGTGCCCAGGGGAGAGGTCCACGCACGGAGTCTTTGGAACAGAAAACCACAAGCCCTTCCCGAGAGCTGAGTGCAAGCAGCAGGAACGTAGGGCCGACTTGGAAAGTGGCTGCGGGTAGCCTCACACCCCTCCTTCTGGTCTGATGGGGTGAGGTGGCCCTTGCGGAGCCCCTTGCAGGGAACCCACCCTCTGCAGAAGCCAGCATTGCTCTTAAAGTGGCAGTTCGGGGCACAGGTTTGGAGCCATCTCCTTCCCTGCCCCCCCCCCCCCCAGCCTGTTTCATCCTGAGACTTTGGGGAGAAACAGACGCCCATAGATTTGGAAGAGGCTCTCTCCCCGGGCAGCACAGGCCCCTCTGTCAGTCCTGTGGTGCGGCTCTCGCCGTCATAACGCACCTGCAGGCGGCACGTGAAGGCCATTTCAGACTTTGGTCTCAGGGCGAGAGGACAAGGCTACATTCACACAGATGCCTCTTCCCTTATCTGCATCCGGTATGGCTTTGCCACTCTGCGCACAGGCCCAGAGGGGGACCCCACCAGCACCCCGTGACCGCACGGCTCATCCTGTACCTAAGAAGTCCTGCGACAGCACGCTCCAGTAGAAGTGAGATCGAGAACACGTGCGGGAAAGGAGAGGGTGTCCAGGAAGGCCTCCCCAGGGAGGTGGCCGTCCGCAGAAACCTGAGGATATGAAGTCCGAGATTTGCCGCTTGAGGCCGAGGCGCTGCCTGGAATGTGGAGACGCTGCAGGGCCTTGTCCGGTGGGAGAAGCTCCGAAGACTTTCAGTGGGGAAGTGACAGGAGACCATCCGTTTGGTAACCGCCCACGAGATGGCTGGCCTGAGGGAGGGGGTCAGGCGGCACCTGGCACCTGTCTGGCGAAGGTCAGAATAAGGGACCGCAAAGCCACCTTGCAGAAACGTCCCTTCTTAGGGAGCCGCCATCTGAGCTGTGCTTCAGGCCAGGAGCCCCTGCTGGTGAGGAGGGGGCACTGCCGGTCATCATGCTGGGACAGGGACAGCTGGGACAGGGGACGGCTGGGACAGGACAGCTGGGACAGGGGGCGGCTGGGACAGGACAGCTGGGACAGGGGACAGCTGGGACAGGGCAGCTGAGACAGGGGACAGCTGGGACAGGGGGCGGCTGGGACAGGACAGCTGGGACAGGACAGCTGGGACAGGGGGCGGCTGGGACAGGGCAGCTGAGACAGGGCAGCTGGGACGGGGATGGCTGGGACAGCTGGGACAGGGGACAGCTGGGACAGGACAGCTGAGACAGGACAGCTGGGACAGGGACAGCTGGGACGGGACAACTGGGACAGGGACAGCTGGGACAGGGGGCAGGGGACAGCTGGGACAGGGACAGCTGGGACAGGGGACAGCTGGGACAGGGCAGCTGGGACAGGGGGCAGGGGACAGCTGGGACAGGGACAGCTGGGACAGGGGACAGCTGAGACAGGACAGCTGGGACAGGGACAGCTGGGACGGGACAGCTGGGACAGGGACAGCTGGGACAGGGGGCAGGGGACAGCTGGGACAGGGACAGCTGGGACAGGGGAGAGCTGGGACAGGGCAGCTGGGACAGG